AATCATAGAAATTAGAGAAAGTTGAGATCCATGATCGACGGGATCATCATTCGCTAATTGTAATTGGCGCAGTACTACTAACAACCTCTACTCTACCAAGCTACTTGATATGTGGCGTCGTTATGAGGTGCCGTTCTATGAGGCACTCTTGCTCAAAAGTCCGAGATTTATCCAAAAAGAATCCGGGGTTGAATCCCAGACCTTTAAGAAGGACAGTTATTTTTGAATTATCCATCAAATAATTATTTTTAAAATATCTAAATTATGTACGCTACTGCAGCTATTAGATCGCGAAAGGATATTTTAGGATCATCCGTAGGAAACTAGGTGAAAATGTTTTCTTAATCCGAGTCTTGAAGGATCATCTGTTGTTTATCCTATTTGTTTTACACGCGTTAAAAGTATAAAAATTATTTATTATTTTTACACACGTTTTTTTTACGCGTTTTACAAGTATAAAAAAATTTGACACGATTTTTTTTTACGCGACGCGTTTCAAAATGTATAAAAACGCCCAACTATTCCGATCCACCTTGCTTTAAAATTTTATCGACTACTCTTAAAAATTCTTCTTTATTTAACCCTTCTTGGAAATTTTAAAAAAAAAAAAAAATTTTTTTAATTATAATTAAAGATCTGATGGTGCTCCTAAGAACTGATTCAACAAGTTATGATTATAATATTATAGCAAGAAGAATGCGTACTAATCGTAGGTGAGTTTGAATTTCAATTTTTTTGGAAAGTTGTACTTTTAAACCCCGTGATCCAAAAAAAATAATACAGACGGCTAAAACACAAGGTGCTATAAGTGGCACGGCAAGAATCACCTCTGCATCTCACTTAGTTTTATTACAAAAATGCCAGACTGTACAAGTGTAAGCGGTCCCCATCCGGTCTGGGATCTTTGGATCTGACCCGCTATAGCGTAATTTCTAATGTAAAAATTATTTTTTTTTATTTTATTTTTTTTATTTAGACGAGAAAGAAAAAACTTTTTATACGAAATAGAAGTGCGATTAATCATTTCAAACAAGAAAGAGAGATTGAAATTATTTCAAATTATAAAACAAAAATAATTTATATAATTATTTTATTCGTTATATTAATAAATATTTACATTTTCTTAAATTTTCTAATTTAAAAATAACAGAAATTATTAGAAATAATTTTATATTTTCTTTTTATATTTTATCTATTTTAAAATTAGTTTAAAAATAAAATCCTATAAAAAACATTATTATCATATGATCCGTAAGGTGATTTTAATATGATTATATATCACATGATTTTTATTATTTAACGAATAATTTATTTTCTAAAATATATGAATATCTTACCATATAAGGTTAGGTTAATTTTTAGATTTAATTTACCATTATAACAGGAGATTTTAATTGATTGTTGATCATTTGCAGATTATTTCCAAGTCGGATGGGGTAATAAATATCGGGTGATAGATGTCGGATGATAAATGTCGGTTGATGTTTTCATCAACAAAATAAGTAATTTAAAATAGCGTGATAAAATTATGGATTGATTAAATTTCCATTTTTTTCTATGGAAGTTTTCGAAAGAAATTTACTTTTCTTATTTATAGGCGTTGTTGTCGACTTGGTTGTAATTCAGTTAAAAAGAAAGTAAGTTATGAAAATTACTTTTGATTTGAAATAATTTACTAGTACTTTTATTTAATTTGTACCTTTGTTTCAGAAGTAATTTTACTTGGCTGTTTCCTGCGAAAACAAAAAGTGAGTTGTACATTATTTGTAATTATGCTTTATGATTTTATTTTTTTCTGTACTAAAATTTAGTATAGTCAATTGGATAGAGTGTGAAGATTATAGCGATTGAAGAAGAATAATTGGAAGCGTCTTGTCATTCACTAAGGAGTAGCTGGAAACCTTAATACAAGGCCACATTTTTTTTTTCGTAAAAATAAAGAGACGGTGGACTAATTATTATCAATCGGTTTCAGTTTTGGTGGAACGCAAGGCCAAAAAAATCGGGACAGGAACGATAAACTATGACAAAATAATTGGACAGGGAATCTGAACAAAGTCAGGGTGGGAACGATTGGGAAATTTTTGCATTCAAATCCTAAGACAAGAACATTTTTTTTGGAAGGGTACCGACAAAATCAAGGCAAGTTATAGTCTTCAGTTAAGCTAATTTGCCCTTCCAAATCGAGCAAAAATTTTATATTGAAGGTAAAAGAAAATATTTAAATATAATTTTGTTAAAATATTTTGAGAAAAAGATTAATACGGTTTCATTTCCATTTCTATAAAAATAGATAATTTTCCTTAATTTATTTTTTTCTTTGCCTGTTATTATCTCCTTGGCTGGCTTTTAGTTGGTGGTTGTTTCATAAAAGTTTTTTTTCTTTTAAATTAATCATAAAGTTAAAAATTCCTCTTAAAGACGTAAACACACATGAGTCAAGGAATAATTTTTAACATCATATCCGAAGTAGAAATTGTCGGATTCTGTATTGGATAAGGAACGAATTCTTGGATGGATTCTTGGAAGCGACCAGACATTTGCGAGAAGAAAACCACATTTCGACGAAAACATTGTCACAAGTTTTTCGTTTTTTGTCCTCAGCAAACTGCTGTTGCTAATTATATATTATCAATTTTTAGTTTCTTTTGGACAAAAAAAAGCTGCTAAACACTCTCCTCGTTACATAGATGAATTTTCGCGGGCAACCAGAAATATTAAATTGCGAGAACTTTTTTTTTGTCAGAGCATCTTCGCGTCATACGCTTTCCAATCTTCAAAAATTATGTAACAGCCATCTCGTTTTTTTGCAAATTTAAATATTTTTATTTTTATTTTTATTTTTTTTTATGAAATCGAGTAATGTATTGTAAATTAATTTTTTGAAATCATTTGACTTAAAATGAGAATAGGAGTTTTACATTTTTTTTATGATGGTTATTTTAAAATTCATAGGATTAATGCAAACGCGTGTAATTGGGAGGAGAGTATTGAGAATATGGATATAGAACAGGATTTGGGTGCATATTTCAATGGTATAACATCAGTGTGGTTTAAATTTATCATTTTGTAAAAGTTTATCTTTTTAAAAGGTGTTATGTATCACATTAATTAATAAAGAAGTTCCCTGTCGTTTATATTTTTAAAATTTAAAAATCGTAAGATAGTATTGTAAAAAAAAAAAAAAATACTTCAAGTAAATAATATGATCCGTAATGTGGAAACGTTCCCATATATTAACAACTGCGCAATTCTTGGAAAAAAAACTTTTAGCCCCAAGATCTATTTAATATAATCAGTAAAGTAAAAGCTTTCAAACTTTAAGAATCTTTCCCCTCCTTGTTTTTACCATAGCTTTGCCTAAAATTTTCTATCCAAGTGTTAAAGAAATAACCTTTACGAGATCGTTTCTTTAATACATTGATCTTTTCACCCCTAATATAATTACGAGCTCAACAATATTCACAAAATATTAGTTGAATTACCCGGAAGTTCACCTCTACAGACAAGTATTATCTCAGTGTTATATCGTATCAATAAGCAATTATCTTTACGAGATCTAAACCTCCTTAAACACTCGTTCGATAAATACTTAGATTTAAATCAAATATTTTTTTGCTTAATTATATTTTGTAAAAAAAAATAAATTAATTAATCCACGTTCAGTACAGATTTTATTAAATTATAAAATTTCAGTTTGAAGTAAGTGTTTGGCTTCACATCTTGTAATTCAAAATTTTTAAAAAAAACGCGATCAAAAAAAAAAAAAAAGTTTGATTATATTTTAAAAAATGTCAAAATCAATCTAATTTTCTAGACACATAAGAATTTCTTCTAAATTATCAGTTCATACCTCTCTAAAAGTACCCCAAATTAATACCGCATCCAACTTGAGATCAACTGTTTCTTCTACAGTTATAAAATAAATTCAACTGAATTTTGGCTTTTATTATAATTCATTTGACTTACGTCTTTCTCCTAAATTTTTTATAAGCCTTGTGAACTTCCGCTTTAACTTTATTAAGATGATCCTCAAAAATAATTAAAAGTATCATTCAAGTTAAAAAATCTCTATATAACAAGCAAGCCTTTGGGTTTAATAATAATAATATTGAAAATTGTTAATCATTTGAAAGAAATCTTTTGAATTTTTGAATTCGGCGAATTTGCATGAAATACTACAAATTACAATAAAAAAATTTGTAAAAAAAATTTAAAAAACACCGATTGAATTCTAAGAAATTTTAAGTAAATCCCATCTTTGTTAATGTTGTATCACAAACTTTAATTGTTAATATACTTTTTTTCGATATAAAATCAGGAAATGCTTGATAAAGGAAGCTTTTTTTTTAATAATTCAGTTTCATTACTTATGAAAAATTCGCTTTAAGAAAATAAAGAGTGGAAATTTCTACTTACATCGATATATGTCAATGAAATTCTTTCTGGTGTTATTTTAAGTCAGATATAAACGAATAAATGTTGGATGTGATATTATATTATTTATGTTATGAAATTAAAATAAATGCAAATATATAGCAAAAGGTTGTAGAAATTGCATACACAAATTCGAACACAATCTGAAAGTAACAAAAAATTTGAGACAATAGCATAAAGAACCTTTGCTAACACACCCGCTCAAAATGTAAAGTTGGATTTTACTGAAGAGTTATAGTACGACAAAATTTTACACAATGTCAAGAATATAAAAGAATGTATAAAAAAATGAGGAGAAAGGGAATAAAATCAAAATATTATCTTTCCTATCTGTAAAAATTAAAGATTTACAATCAATAGAGATAAACCATGCGTCTGGTTCTTAATAATATATTTTTGGATGCAATAAATTAGTTTTAGTATAGATGATAATGTGCATAACATTTTGTTTGAAAAAACTTATAAAAAAGTTATGTAATAAACTTAAATCAAGAAGATATATTGAATTCATCAATAAAAAAATATATATATATTTAAATTAAATATTACAATCATGCTACTTCCATAGTTCCTGTTTTATCTAACGAGGAAAGCCAAAAGCAAAAACATCATCATCTCATCGTCACCGTATGATGAAAAAATATGTTCATAAGTAACGGGACACTTGGCAATTTTTTTAGCCGAGTACTTGCCGGGTAATTAATACAAAAAATTAAATTTAATATAATAATTAATAAAAAAAAAATGATATGAATGATATGACAATTTACATTACAATATTTTCCACTTTTTTTTACAAATACATACAAAAAGTCTTTTGCAATTACATTTTATATCAGAAATTTCAACTTCAGAAATATTTTGTAATCTTGAAGCCTCTCTAACACTAATTATTAGAAGTATTTTCAAGTTCAAATAAATTATTTAATGATATTGATTCTAAATTACTTCCATTATAACTATATTCAAAATTCCAGATTTGCAACATAATTTATTATTTTTAGGTCTATCAGTTTTAGAGCAATCTTTAACATGATCGAATTTTTTGATCATGATTTCATTATTGTATCTGAATGTTTTAAAATTGAATTTTGATAAATTCATCGTGGTCTATTCTTTTTGTTTATTTTTTCCAGTCACTAGTAAAAATGAAATCTTTTTTTTTTTGTTTTAGATCAATTTTTGCTTACACCAAACCAAATATAATTATTAACTAAATTATTAAAATATTTTTTATAAACTATATATAGAAGCTTTTATGAGATGTGAGGAGTTTTCGAATAAAAGCATAGCATAGCAAAAAGCAAAAGTATAGCAAGGCTAACACATAGCTAAAGCAAAACATAGATAAAGCAAAGTATAGCAAAAGAAAGAATACGCTCTTATAAAACAGAATATTTCTCATACAACAAATCTTACTCAAAAAATAATTTAAATAATGCTACACGACAAATGTTCAATAATTTTTTACGCTAATAATGCTTGGCTGAGTTTTATTTTCCCGAAGCATAACGACACATGATGTCATAGTTTATAATTTAAATAATAAAAATACACTGGCTGGCAGTGTCACATCGATAAAATATAATGAATATATATATACTAAAATACATGGATATTTATGATATTTATTCATAATCAAAATTAATTTGATATTTTTCACCAGTATTTTGATTTACGGCTGTAGCTATAATTTCAACGTTAAAGGTTAAAGTAAATACTATTGTTATATCATCAAAATTTTCATTTTCCGGCAATTCAATCACCCATGCACGAAGCAAGGTAACTCCATCATCATTACAATATTTTGCGTTCTCTTTTTTTGTGGCATACATATTAAAACTTATCTCTCGTTGTAATAATGAAAAAGGTTGAAATTTTTTAATAACCTTGTAATTTTCAGTTACTAAATCGCCAAGTTTTGCAAGTGTTTCGAAAGCTGAGACATATCCATTTGGGGAAAATGGATCATTTGGTTGCCATCTTCGTACTATATCAGTGCCTAAAAAAATTAAAAATTAAAATAAAAGTGAAAAAAGTTGGAACATCAAATTTATTAAGTGCTTTATCTAAATACCATATGTTTGCGTTAATTTACGAGTTGCCACTGTACTTTCTCTAAGTCCGTATAAGACAGCTAATCATTAAAAGCACGTTTATAAATTAATATTAAAAATCTAATCAGAAAATAAATACAAAAGCCATACTAACCTCCTTTTAAAACTGCTGTAATAGGAAGAATTGGAGCCGAAATGCTTGGAAATACCTCAAGGAACTCACTTTTAATCCTAGCTTGTAAATATTTAGATTCGCTAAATCCTCCAACTAGGAACATAGCCGAGCAATCGTTTTCAATTTGATCCAATTGTCCTTTAATCAAGTTTATAATTCTTTCTATAACTGGATCAAACATCTCTTTAACTTCTTCAAAATCAATTTCAATAAACCAATACGAAATTTCTAATTTTTCTCTTTCTTCTCCTTTTATATATTGCTTTATTACTGGTATTTCATCGAAATCGAGCTCAAAAGGTTCAAATCCCGTTTCTTCTCCTGTAAATTTATATTTTGCAAGTCTACAAAATTCTTGTACGATATATTGTAATTGATCATAATGATGTTCTTTCATTTGTTCAATTGCGAATGGTCCTGTTTTTTTACCAATAAACTTTAGGAATTCCTGGTCTACGAAAGTTGATCCGCAATAATCTCCTCCACGAACCGTTCTTTCGGTTAGTTTGTCGTCTTCCAATAGTTCACGTGTTGTTATGTTTACTGTGTCACCACCGCAGTCAACAATCATAAACGAATCTATTCAAACAAATTAAAAATTATATACTGTATATGTTTAGTTAATACTTATAAACCTCACTAACCTCCTGGATTTAAATTATTTTGTTCTTTTACTATCGAATTCAAACAATCGATAGCTGCGGCTTCGGCTATTTATAAAAAATAACTAACTCAATTTTAATTTTAGGAGAATTGCAGCAATAAGTTGTACATACGTTCCGTTGTAAATCGGAGATTATTACTAGATTTTTCCTTCAGAAAACCAGCATTAAAGGCGCATTCGCGCATTATTATAATTTCATTATCAACAAATTCCGCCGGAACCTTTTATTTTATTTTATTTTTTAAAATAAATAAATAAATTGGTTTAGATTCACTTTGCTTTTTGAATTTTGAATACTCCTTACCGTAAGGACAATCAACACATTACTGTGTAAGTCCACTTCTGGGAAAACAAGAGATAAAGTTTCTTTAATTGATTCGCATAATTTGTTCAGATAATCTGTGATGACTTTTTTATAATTCAAATTATCAGGTAAAAATGGTTTTTCTTTCAAAGATTTTGACAAATGTAATTTAAACCGTTCAACAGGTTTTGATGACTTAGGATTTGCTTTTTCTTTTTTTGATGGTCTACGAGCTAATGCTCTATAGCCCCACAATTCGATAGAATCATAGGAATTTTCTTTATATTTTATAACGGTCGGTAATTTAAGGCGACCTTCGACTCCATCCCAATCATCTTTAACTAAAATCCTATCAGGACTCGCAACGTGTGCATACGCGTATCCCTTTATTTAATTTTTTAATTGAAGAACATTGTTAAATCAACAATTTTACACGAATTCCTTCGCTTAAAATCTTTTGGCCAAATTCTTACCGAGTAGGTCGTTCCAAAGTCTTTCGTAATAATAATGTTGAAAGAAAGTGTTTGATTAATCGATTGAATTGGTTTTATTAAAGTTTTATGATGTTCAAAAACATACCAATGGCGAGAACAATTCGAATATCATTAAACTCTTCCGACATACTAGATTTTTAAATTTTCACACTTACAACTTTAAGAAACGTTTATCAATAAATAAATAAAGTGAATATCTTATCTACGATATCAATTATAAATGGAATATAGAAATTCACGACCACAAAGAAATTCTGTAAATTAACGTCATATAACCCATTAAAAGCCTTTAATGGTTCATATGTACAGATTTGTTTATGGCTTTGTCGAGATTATCAACATTTTAATTAAATCAATATGGATCGGCGTGTATAATATTCCCACGAATTTATTTTCAATGAACTCAAAAGCGGTATGTGATATGTCGAAAACCCTGAATTGATTTGATTGTATGTGACTTAAAAACCTTTAAGATTTTATTGGTTTCTTTATAAATACGATAAACGGTTCAATTGTGGTTAGGCCGAAAATTTTAAAAATCTGAAAAATAAAAAAATAAAAATTTTAAAATTATATAATTTAAAAAAATATTTATATAACGCTGTTTTCAATTAGCCGATTTTCATACTGCATGATGCTAAAGGTAATCAGGTAATCAGATTCACGTCATGATCAACGGATTTTACATGAACAAAATTTTCGCGTTTCGCTATAAAATTAGGACATGCTTTGGTTGTCAAAAATGTTTATATTGCGGTATAGATTTATTAAAAGATATATGTAAATGCAGAAAAGTCACTAAACCAACCAAAAAAATAGAACAGCTATTGTTAAAACTGCATTCAAGTGCATTTGAATTATGTTTCTTTCAAATCAGAAAAGGCTCAAAGGGGCTGGTACTTTATTAGTGGATGTATGTGACTTTGAAAATTTTTGATTAGAATATCTTAAACTTGCAGCAGCAAAGAAAATTATGCTTATTTTAGTTACTATAAAAAAAGGAAAAGCTAGTTAAATGAAAGAAAAGTTAAATTTATTTTATTCTTCGTTTATTATATTTAAAAAATTATTGAAACTATTTATTTTTTTTGATTAGGAATCTAATTCAAATGATGAAGAAGTAATTTGTGATTAAAGGCTAACAATAGTAATAAAATTCTGAAAGTATCAGATATTTCTATAATTGACCAAAGGATTGTGTTGCGATTAGTTCTTTAGAGTTTATATTTATAAACGAATGTATAATATAGCAGAAGGAATTTTAATTTTGCAATAATTATGCAAAAAAATTCTTTAATAAAAATTAATAAACTGCCTCAAACATCGCGCTCTGTAATTTACAGAGTTAATTTTTTTAAATGTTGATCTTACGAAATTATTACAATCATTAAAAATATCAAAATAAGGAATATCAAAAAAAAAATTATAAAGTATCATAGAAAAACTTGTCTCTCTCAGCCCAAGTATCAATCCCACCTTTTTATATATTAATTTTGAAGGAACAATTTTCCTAGAGGACAAGTTGACTAGAGATCGTTTTGGCCAGTGATCAATTTGGCCAGCCAATGGTCAATTCACCTCGTGGTCAACTTGCCCAGTGGATTTGATCTATGCTGATTAAAGTTGTGGGCGAAACCAAAATCACAAAGTCAAAACATTTCGGCAGTTTTAGCTGAATGAATATGCTCTGGTTTTATAAATGAATTTATTAGAGATTATGTTGTAATTGTTGTGGATTCAGTTAAGATACGAAGTGATGGAAATTTTTTAATATTTCTTCTTTAAATTTTCTATGTTTTGAGCTACATCAGGAAATTATTTTGAATATTTTATTGTGAATATTATAGGTCTATACAACCTATCACAGGTCTATATTTTTAATGATATAAGTATTTCGAAGATTATTTTGGGGTAAATCTTTGGAGTTTTGTTAGGAGGCGTTGTGTTGCGAAAATTATTGAGTTGTTGAAATTTTGTCAGCATATATAAAATGGTAAAAACTTTTTAAACTTCAAGTTCATATCATTGATATTAAATTTGCATGCTCTCGAAGATTACTTTGAACGACATGTAAGGTTTAATTTTTTATTATTTACATTTTTTGAAAAAATTATTATCCAAATTTAAAAAGATTAATCCGTAGGCATACAAAATACTTCTAATGCGAAGTACTACAGTCGAAGCACTTTAAATATTTATGAATTTGTAATATCTAGTACTGCAGTCGAAGCACTCCAAAGGTTTACTGAGCTGTAATATCTACGAAGAATTTCAACAGCAATAATTTGTATAACTGACTTTAATGAAGGTGCAAATATTACGAAGCTTTACAGCATAATACTTCGTAAATATACGGAAGAGTATTATCTGTAAAGTATTTGCCTCAAATACTTTCCTGATATACGTAAAAGAAAGTTCTTTCTGTTTGTTTGATGTAAGTTTTTTGTAACATTCTTCCGATAGAAATTATTTAGTGAAAATGATTCAAATTATTATTATATCAATATTAAAAAAATTTATTTTGATCAAGATAAAAACTAGTTACCCGTCATTTTATATCATTTAAGTGAACAATCTATCTTTGAATGACAAGTAACTGAAATATCAGTCTATTATTTTAGGTGGTTGCCATTTGAAATTGGTCAATTGTCTATTATTAAATATTGGGGAGTACAGTAAAGCATTATCATAACTAGGTTTTGATTAGCAGAATAATACTGTTCAGCTGGCATCTTGTTTGGATGTCAGACTTTCTTTTGATCGAATCTAGTCAAACCTACACTTTTTTTTACTTAAAACGTTGAACTCGTTTATTATCGAATAGCATGGCTGATTTTAAATCTGAACAAACTTTTACATTGAATCTATTTATCCTTTTAAGATATGGTCGTCAAAATTGAAATCTAGTGTGATAAACTAGCAGACCTAAACGATTTGTATAATAATCTAATGCTGTCATCACTTACGATGTGACGATTATATAATCTTAATATAGGGCTTAATTAAGAATCTATTTTGTTTAAAATTCATAATTGATGTAAATTACTGTAAAAAGCTGATTTTCAATCAGTCAGTATGATGTATTATTTGTCGTTACTTTTAATACAAGGAATATTTTATGACTGAGAAATTTATTTCCTATTTAATTGAAATATAATAATCTTCAAAAAAAACTCTCATAAATTATCTATGATTAAATATAAAGAATATTTATTGGTAATCAAGTATTTCATTGTGAAATGGAAAAATGTGTAGTCGTTCCCATTTCGGCTAAATAAGAATTTTGCTCCATATGAATCAGTCCGCTCGAGGCTAAGTACATAAGTTTAAAGTTTAAATACATTATTCGTTAATACCATTTTTATTTTAACTCAAATTTCGACTACTTGATATAGATAAATTGATTATATACATGTACATGTTGCTTTTAACTTAAATGGCTTTCAACACATTTAAAGAAAAAAAAAAAAAAATGTAACTATTCAGATATTTAAATAGAGGAAAGTACCATTTTTTTTTTCAATTCATTTCATTCTTTTTTTTTAAAAAAAAAAATTAAATCGTCAATAACTTCGTCAATATGTTATCTTCCGCTGCTAAAGAAAAGGAATTCGAAAGGAAAATATGTTGAATTTTGAGAAGTATGGATATCAATTGCTATATGATAAGGTGAATATCACAGAGTTATTTGTTCAGTTGTTATGTATTGGAAGTTACGCTGCCACTAGGTGTAAAACTGGGGAATGAAAGCTCATCGAGGCCACAGTTTGCGAAAGTTACCAGTCAGGTATTCAGACCTGGCGTACGGTGTACGGCCTACTGTGAACGTTCTTCTTCTCCATTTCCGAAAAGCTACAGCTATAAAACTTAAGCGAAGCCTTGGTAGAAATACCTGAAACCGTTTCTTTGCCCAAAGTAACGCGCATAAGGACACCCGGGGGCTGAAGTGGTGAATAGGATACATGAATTATTGAAAGAAAGCGCTTCGTGGCCGCAGTACATACAACTGTGAACGTTCTTCCTTGATTCTTGACGATGATGACGCAAATTCTCATTTTGTTTAATAAATATATTTTATAGTCCCGCACCGGTGATGGTGGCGTTGATATAATCGGGAATCTTTCAAGATTCCCATTTGTGATCCAATGCAAGGACAGAAAAAAAAACTTGGTAAATAACTAATCATATCCATGAATTTTATACAATTAAGGATGGCAACTAAAACATATGATCGTTTAATTTTAGGCGTTGAGATCGTACGAGAACTAGAAGAGACGTTATCTAGACACCATGAAGATACGATTGGTGTTCTAGTAACACCCTCCAACGAAAATTATACGAAGCAAGCGAGGAGAGCTGCAAAAACATCTGAGTTTAACATAATCCTTACAGACAAGGAAAATATTTGCTCGGATCTTATAGATTTTGTCGAGCTTCGACAAAAGAAAGTTCAAAATTCACAAGTTTACGTCAATCTTGTTGCTTTTTTTATTTCTTTTTATTCAACAACGCTAATTGGGATTTTATTATATATAATTTTTCTAATAAAGAAACTAATGAGATTTACTTATTTTCACTACAACGGATCTAAAGATTATGAATGATTTCGAATATAAAACAATCATTTCGATTATTCGTAATTATCGAAAAAATCATTCAATTATTTACATCAAATATCATGTTAATAGGTAGTTGAAAGTTTATGTTTCATCAAGAGTTTCGGTGTTTATTTAAATATAAACTATATGTAACTAGTCTTACAACTTTATAATCATTTCATCATTAACATCATTCTTCGCGGAATCATTAATATCATTGTTAGGAACGATATCATACATATAACTATTATAATCATTTCATTATACTTATCATACATCGGTAAGCTTTGACAAAATCACACCTTACGAATAATCTTTAAATTTTAAATTATGAACATTAGAGAACAGAACGAGATAATTACTAAATAAAAATGAAATCATATAATATTGGTTCAAAGTATTATAATTCTCGTCAATTTCCTCCTCGCTACCGGAATGTGAATTCATATGATTTAGCACGTGAAATAAATTAACTTGTGTCACACCTCTGTGAGAACAATTTGAACGCGGATAATAAAAAAAAAATAATTGTAAAAAAATAGATTTTTACAAAAACTTTTACTATTGAAGTTTTTAAATTTTTAAAAAAACTGATACTGCTTCTTACCAACCCGCCCATTTTATTTTTCTTTTACTGCTTTTTGATGTTTATGATTACGCATGTGTTTCCTTAGTTTCATATATAATTTGATTTTTCTTTTAAATTATTTTTTTCTTATTTTTTCCTTGATCTATCTGCTATTATTTTTCTCAATATCTTATACATGTCAGGACTTAGTCCGATGACTGACCTATGAATCGGTCGAGTGCTAAAGAGAGATGAAAGACCTTTTTTGAATTGAAGTTTATTGTAAACAGCCTTTTCCTTTAAGATCTGAAATAATAAATTTTTTTCTACGAATTAGTCATATGAAAGTAAGTTTAATCTTCTGAAATAACCCTTTCTCGTAAAAATTTACGAATTGTCAGTTAAATCTTCCGTTAAAAAGGTTAGTGCGTGTGCAAGAAACGTAAATTTAACAAACATATTCTAGGTTTCAATTAAACCTTATATAACTGGTGAACGAGATTCATTTATAAATTTTATATTTGTGACGTACAATTGAATTCAAATTTATATGACGTGTGCAAATCGACGTAACATTTAAGAGTTAAAAGGCTTGTATCTATATAAGTATCCACCTTCATTTTCTTTTATTTTTATTTTTATACGCCTAACTTTTTATATCATTATAACAATAATATATTTTTTTCACAAATGAAATAAGTTACAAGTATGAATACTAACGGTTCTTCGCTTGCGTGTTTTATCTATAATAATCAAATCAATGTAAATTTAATTCCTATTCCTTCCCGCTGCTACCACTTCTGACCGTGAGAACAATGACTTGCTAAGATATGATGGACAGAAACGACAAATGGTATGATCTATAAATTTCGGCAGCCTTTATTGGTTGTCATAATAGTTTTTGGACAATTTCGAAAGGTATGTTTGTTAAACTTGCAATTTAAAGTATTTAACTAGAATTTGCAGTTTTCAAGGGACTTTGTTCTCAGAGTAGAATTATTTTTTTAATGCAAGCTTCGATATTTTTACTCCATTTCCTCACTCAAATATAGTTTATGTAAAAAAGTTAATACTTTGTATTTACAACGAAAACTTAATATTTAAAATATTTTAAAATGAAGAAATTCCTTTTTCACCTGGCGCGAATATTTTTTATTTGTGTGAAAATGCAATACGAAATAAAAAAATTCATTTCATAAGTTTTTGCATTTTCGTAAGGTCGAAATTATTTCATTGAAATTTGATAATGCATTGATGAATACCAAAATAAATAAGAGTTGGAATTTTATTCAAAATGAAAAAAATAAAATATATAAATTATTAAAATATTTCCTTCAATCAATCATATCTCTTATCGATAAAAAATATAACTTGAATATTTCTCGAGAAAGAAAAAAATTTTTTTTTAAAAAAAAAAAAAAAAAAAAAAAGGGCTTTTCAAGATAATGAATGAACTTTCGTGCCATCAAAATCTTCAATCGTCACAATTAAATCACTATACTTCCTCATTTTCACAAAAGGTTGAATTTCACCAGCCAACTTTTTCAAATTTTCAAAATTTATATATTTAAGATCGTCTTGTTGATAAATGCAACCAAGTTCGTAAGCAAAATATTTCACCTTTTTCCTCTCTACAAATTCTTTTAAAATTTTTAAAATGCTAAAAGTCTCATCAATAAGATCCTTAGAGTTGTTTTTAACTAATAATTTTTTCAATCCAACATGTCGACAATTATCCAAAAAGACTTTTAAGTCATTTGGTTGAAACGTGAAATCTAAATTTAAATATTCCAGAGAATCAGGTAACATTTGACCCAGAACTTTTAAAATCATTGAAATAATGCCAATAGTTATTCGCTTGCCCAAACAAAATCTATTATTTTTAATAGAAAGGTATCTAAGACTTTTGCTAAAATGCGTAATCAACTCATTTAATCGATTGAAATTTTTTTGATGAATGTTATATAAGTATAAAAATTTTATTTTATCACAAAATCTCATAATGCTTGCAAAATAAGTTTCATTATCAACAATTAGATTTAATTCTAAATTTTCTAAATGTGAACCAATTTTTTGAAGTAATAAATCAAGAACTCGGATACCAACACCAACTACTTTTAACGATTTGATTTTTAATGGGGTAATATCAAACAATGGTTGAAGGAATGTAGTTGTAATGCCACTGCATTTATTGAAATGAAGAGATTTAAGTTGTGTGAGATTTTTTAGCCCATCATATGTAAAATCATTTGCAAAATTACAATTAACAAACTTAATTGAAGTTAAAGTATTATAGCACTTAAGTGAATCTAGATTCAATTCGCTAAGTGAAAGAGATAATAGTTGTGCTTGCGATTGAATGAGGTTTCTTGCAAATGAATTGTTTTTACTAGCCCAAATACTAAGATGCTTAATTGAAGGTATTAATGATGGTAAAGTTGCTAAAAAACTTGTAGGATATGGTTGATACTTCTCTAACCCTAGGTGAAGTTTTTCAACATTCGACATAAATTTTGCATTATTTGCATTATTTAAAATTATTTTACAAATTTCTGTCATTAAAACTTGAGTTCTGCTGAAATACATAGAAATATCTTTTAAAGAAACATTACTATCTATAAATAATTTGAATAATAAAATACAAATCAAATTACTTTTTGGAGTCGTTGATTTACCAATATCATTTGTCAAATTATCAGTGTGAAATTTCAATCGACGTTGTTAGTGATAGTCTAGTTATGACGCATTAATACTGCGCCAATTACAATTAGCGAATGATGATCCCGTCGATCATGGATCTCAACTTTCTCTAATTTCTATGATTTCT